CCACAGGTCTTTCCGTACGTGAATTCCATCATCTTAGAGTAACTCAAATATCGCAGATAAATAACGACCTGGAGATAATAGAGGACTGGGGTAACAAAAACCTTGTACAGTTCAACGCGCAGAAAACCCAAGCAGCTCTGTTTTCAAAAAAGACCAGCACCGGTGAGCCAAACATCATGCTATCTGGAAGTGCTGTCACATTACAGAGGCAGTTGAACATCTTGGGGGTTACTGCAGAGACCAACATGTCTTGGCACAATCACGTGGCAGATATTGCTGAAAGGGCGTCCCAAAAGCTGGGGGTGCTATTTCGTACAAGACATCTGTACACACCAAGCCAATTGCTGACACTCTACAAAGCCCAGATTCGACCAACTATGGAGTACTGCTCACATATATGGAGTGCAGCACCCAAACATACCTTAATGCTTTTGAACACCGTGCAAAAACGAGCTATCAAGCTGATCAATGACCCCGCACTTACTCGTAACTTGGATGGTCTCGAACATCGCAGATCTGTGGGCGATTTATCTCTCTTCTACAGGTACTATCAGGGAAAATGCTCTGAAGAGTTGGCACGTATGATTCCACCGAGAGTAGCGCCTACCAGGCGAACCCGTCAAACAGACGGTAACCATGACTTTACTGTCAAACTAGAGGCACCAAGAACCTCATTATATCAGAATTCATATCTCTGGAGAACAGCATCGCTGTGGAATAAACTCCCTGCGACGGTTTTCCCTGCAGGTTACAACCTGAACCGTTTCAAGACCAACATACACCGACATTTCCGCGCACTTGCCGCTTCTCGAGCGTGATAGGACATTTCCTTGCGAGTGCGCATATCCGTAAAAAAAAAAAAAAAAATTAAGGGAAAACCTTTAACAAAACTTAGAGCTTTGGTCCTCTTCTCGACCTTTGACACAAATAAATATTATCAGCTCTACATATATCTCCATAGTATGATACTCAAGAGATTTAGAGAAAAATCTCACAAGCGAGACCCTGTTTGGGTTTTCTGGATTTCTACGAATTTCCGCAAGAATGGTCGATAATACCTCTAATGATCATCAAATAAGTTACCCATATAAACTTGATTTTCCTGTAGACAGTTTTCTTTGAACAAAATTTGAGCCTACCTATTGTACGACTTCAAAAAAACACTTTATGTAATCAGATAAATATGCAACTATACCTTCTTGTTTGACGTACCTACCCATTGAACTCACTCGATAGGTTGTTCAACTGAATTTGTCTTCAGATAAAAATTAAATTATTATTATTATTTTAGTCGAAATGTATCTTTGTTTGTGTAAACCTCTAGTAAAGGTGTTCACTTCCTCTTTTATATCGGCTGTAAATATTTATTTAAACACGTTTTCATTTGCCGGTTATATCAAACGATGAGCTTTATCATTTCCAGCAGAATGAGTGATAATAAAATAAATATTACGGATAAGATATCGTATGTATATAGGTAGGTATACCGGCATCATAATGATTTTAAGGATACTTACTATAAGCACTTATTATCGTACGCCTGGATATAACTTGAGAAAAATTGCTTAATGGGCGCCAGCTTTTATCAATGGAGTCTCGGAAAAACGATTAAATTTTGATTGGCTTTTTACAATTTATAATAAAAAAGGTTTTAAGTTAATTCTGCGAAAACTAACAAAGAAGGTATTTTCTGCAACAAATCAGCATAGGTAATCGAAATAAATATCTCCTTAATCTAAAATCTCGATAAATGAATAGATTAAATTATTTAAGCCAGTCTTATATGATTTGTGGATACAAGAAAGCCTCATTGGCAATCATATTGGTTAAACTGAGTCACCAAAAAATAGGAAAATTGAAATAAGATAAGTACTACAAAAAAGAGTCTGGCATTAGGGCTCCTACCTAATCCTTAGCTTTGGCCGCATCTAATAGAAAAAATCTGTAACTTGCACACTAGGCTTTGTGAATTTGTTGCATCATTTAAATGCATGGATATCATCATTCATTTTTATCATCATCACATGTTTAGCTGATTCACATAGATAACCCATCTTCTTAAGATTTTTTCCTGGTCTAATCTGCGGCTATTCAGGCAGAGTTCAATGTTGGATCACCTACGGTTTTATCTTCCGTCCTTATATGTTTAATTTATCTCTAAGAAATTGCAAAAGCGATAAGCCAATTAAAAAATGGAAAAGCCCCAGGAACGGACGATGTACTACCAGAAATGCTGAAGGAGACAGGAGAATACCTTGTAAATCAACTGAAAACATTAACAGAGGAGATACTAACAAAAAAGAAGACTCATCAAATTTTGAAAACTATAGATCCATATAAGCCTTCTGTCTCAGATATACAAAGTGTTCATGAGAATAATCACCAACCGCCTAGAAAAGAAATTCTATGAGCGTATTCATACCATACCATACTATACCTTTTTAAGCTCAAAACTTAAGTCTACAACGAATGTATTCTGCCAGTAGTTGCCTATGGAAGCGAAGCATGGACTCTGACAAAGAAAATCTCAAATAAGCTGCAAGCAATGAACTAAACAAACACACTGGAACGGTGACTGCATAATTGTTTCTACGCAAGGGTTTGTGCCAGGAAGGACAACAAATAAGAGGGATTTGCATCTCTCTCAGCACTATGGCGGCTATTGAGAACAGCTGTTTGAAGTGTTTGGATCAGTGAGGTTCGGAAGATGAAAAAGCTCTTTCTTTCTTTCACATTAATCGCAATGAGCACGAGCGAGACAATAATCCCTCCGTACTGCTGGGTTGCATATATCAAAACTTGCCTCGACTAGCATAAAGCAGTACGCCCGTCCAGAGTGTTTGTTTAGTTCAATGGCTGCAAGTACATGAGAGAACAATCGAAAGGAAAATGATAGGTATTACACTAAGGGATCAAGAGACCAACGAGCGGATAGAAAATACAATAAAGTTCGGAGACATTACACATAGAATATGCACCCTCAATGGAACCGAGCTGGCCACGTAGCTAGAAATACAAGCAGCAACTTGAGCGGATAAGTAACAAGATGCAGACCCTGGGGGGGATGAAGCTCAGAATAGAAATACCTGGCAAAATCTGAGAGAGGGCTGTATCCTATATCCAGAGGAAAGAGAACGGCTAGGATTTAGGAAGAAGAAGAAGACATCCAGTTCAACCTTGTGATGCCTCCAAGTCTTTCGTGCTCTCCACAGACCTTTCCGTTTGGCTGATTCTTCTATACAAGAATTTAATGATCGTTCAACCTCTGTTTCTCATTTTTCCAATAGTCATTTTGATACTTCAGAACATCGAGCTTTAAACTGCTAGAGGGATCAACAAGCATATTTGTTTTGTTCCATAATGTGGTAACGGGGTCAGAGAGGTGATTCATCCGATAAACAAAGCGAAAAAAGGCCCTGTTGCCGAATTTTTTCCTGTTCGAATAATAATCTCGATAATAATGAATATCGTCATCTATCGAAAAGTATCTATTTCAAATTTGTCTGCTTAATATTAAAAATATACTTGCGACTTTTTAAGTCTATACTTAAAATAATTCTAAAACAACAATACCTTTTATCACGACTCAATTTGGTTTTAAATGGAACTACTTACCTACTTCTAAAGAAAGATTTTACAGTCTGGCAATAACGTAGTAATTGTTTTGTGTTCTCATGGTGTTCTCAACTTTCTTGTGACAAATCAGCTGACTGCGTTCGAGAACCTGGTGTGTTGTATAAAAATTACATAGCTGCCGTTCGGAAAGGCGAAGTGTGGATTAAAATAATATGGTTTTCGGCGTTCGGAGGGGTGTTTAACACGTATTGATGTGCGCACCGAATACTCTAGAGTGAAATTTGAGCTCACATTTTGAAGATGCACTCCTTGAAATAATTTCCACACCAAAAACCAGGTTTTCGAACGCAGCTCTCTGATACCCAAAACATAAACAGACTGGTTTATAAACATTCTATTTTCATAAGTGCGAGAAAGAGGGCCTGGTGTCATTCTGGAACCAAACAAATTCTATAGCACATTATTATCGTTATTAGTCTAGAGAGAGAGAGTGTTCAATGGTCGAAGCTTCAGAATAAGAAAAGAGAGCATTGAACCATTCGTTCTATAAGTCATTTTTATTTAACTTTCTTGTGCAAACATCAAAAACTCACCTGCAATATTGTTTAATATTTCGTTGATTGTGAAATTTCTGATAAGGAAATATAAAATTAATTAACCTCTAACAACGAAAGTTGAAATCCCCTCGAGAAATCCTTTCACCCACCCACTCAAGGTTTGTGTTGCTTTATGGCCTTTGGGCATTGCTTTGGATATAAATTCTTCTAGTTTCCATTGATTCAATATTTTCGGGATCCTCTGATTCATTCACAACTGGTTTTCATAAAAAAAAACCAGAAATAGTTTTCAACTAATAATATGTAAATCTATAAGAATTATTATTTAAATGTTTATAATCTGTTCAAGGCAAAAGAATGCAATAAATCAACAAGATAAATTTAAGTTAATGAGGTATTTACTTACTTACAAATGAGTGTAAAAGATTTGGCTTATGATAATACTATCTATATCAATGGCGCCAAATATAAACAACACCAAGATGAAAAATTTCATAAATATACAAATAAATACCATTTTAAACATTTGCCAAATGATAAGATTCAACTATAAGAATGTGACCTATATTTTGTTTATTGCTACAACTAGATCATCATTTTCGAAAATAATAAATAGAAAATTGAATGATTAAGATAAATTTGATATGGTGCTAATGATAATACCTATTTATCTTAATTTTAGTGACAAATTATTGTTATACATTTGTTTGTTATTTACGAATTGACCTATAAATATTCCTTACATAAAGGCATAGAAAATAGATTATAAAATAACTTTCATTATGATATAAATTTGCTTTTTTGTTTCAAAAAAAACTTTGACTATTTACGTTGCTAATTCAAGCATGTCTCGGGTTATATAATAAAAATATATCATATTTCGAGAATCAACAAATCATATTTTTAGGACTGTCCGCATTTCTCCAACATCTCAAACTTCCGTTACACTTTTACAAAGCAGGTATAGTATCCATAGACAAGATATACGTTTCTAAGTGGCCGGTGCAGTAACACCTACCTTCCCATGAACGTATAGCATTCCCTATAGTTCTCGCTAACAATAGATTTCTAAAGTTAGTACCGCTCGTTAACTGCCTTTTACTTCTTTTGTACCGAGCGGCATGGTGCTATTTCGAAAGGAACACTTCTTGTCTTGTTTTATGACGAGATGATCCACAAAATTCTTGGTAGAAATAACACCTTCGACGATAATGGTCAAATTGTTTTTCTCGTAATTGGTTTTTGTAAACAATCATGAAATTTGTGGTGTGTGGCCTTCAAAAGATACTAAACCTAATGCTTCAAGAGCTTGAAATCACAGTATATGACTTGAATGACTTCACCTGTGGGTCAAGCTTCATCCTATCGACGGATGTGAACAATGGTATGAAATATTTTCATTTCTCAATAATTTCCTCAAACTCTTATACCAAATCACATTTTCGGAAAATGTCTGAATGTTCGTTGTAAACTTTGCTACTACTATCAGGAATATATATTATATCAATCACAAATTTCTAGAGATCCATTAATAGAAACTCGTTTACCAGACTCAGACGGCAAAAAAAAAAATGAAGATTCACGCCTGATGCATCGTTAAAAATGCCTCTTCACTTTATTGTTCTTTCGGAAATAGAGACGAAAGATCGGCCTGACTGCGTCAGACCTATCGATAATTTTAATTCCATTTGCCTAAAGACTCTATCATAATCGCCTATTAAATATGGAGGACGGACCGAATACGATCTGATTGAAGATTGCTTCAGTGCTTCGGGTCTGGTTTAATTAGGAGCCATTAGGGTGATCCTTGAACGAGTTCAAGAGAGGTTTAAAAATGTAATGCGTAGGTTTATTGGTTGAGAGAACTTAATATTCAGAGCAACTGAAGAACCATGAGCCATCTACTTTTTCCTACATATTTTATCTCCTGAAACCACTACTCACCACAAGGAAAAAAATTTCTCAGGGGGTTCTATTTATATATCAAAAATAGATGGTGCCATGAAGTTTATAAGTACATATTCCTCATGATGTCATATATTTGCAATAATAAGATTTTTTATTCTGTATCAAATTTATTTTATGTTTCCATTTAATTTTGCCCATTATAACAAATAAACACATCCTATATCTCTACTCAACTAAAAACAGAAACAAAATACGTCAAACTCAAGAAAAGTTTATAAATAGTCCAGCTAATTCCAAGTAACTGTACTTATTTAATTCATATTATTTTCTGTCAGAGATGCAAATGAAAATTTTCCTTACGATAACCTTTTTGCGAAATCTAACCTATCCATTATTGTGTGTGGTAAATTTTTTGAGACGCGACGCAAGGTCAGCTGTTATGGTTGCTGGTTTTCTTTTATGTCTTTATCTGGCGCCGTTTAAAGGAATCCTATTGAATATCAATCTTCCAGAATTTGTGCAAGCTTGTTTAAATTAAAACTATTTTTGAAAATTCCCTATAATAGGCCATTGGTTTTTCTTAAATCCACGTCAATAAATCTCACTTTCACATATTCAATCCTCAACGCACCTGTTTTGAATATACAATGATACCAAAATGATACCTACTTCTTAAAAGATTGATGTAATCATTAGTCCCTGCGGGGAAATAAAAATATAGGGTGTCTAAAAATATAATTCCAATATTACGACTGCAATTCTTGAGATGACGCCGGAAAACTGTTTGTGAGACATGAATTTCTTTTCTCAAACTCTGGTGTCTGTATAAATGTAAATCATCTTCTTTGAGGTTTAACGTTTAACCAATCAAAATTTATTGCTGAAATCCATTATAACAAAATCGTTTGAAATATATTTAAATTCTTTTTATTGAGAAGAATTGACCTGTCTCGTAATACCTGAATCGGCGCGCGCATCCTGTGGAAAGCATGTGAGAAAGTGGAGTTTTTTACGGGCTTGCGTCATATTTCTTTATTTCTATTCAGGGGCGAGTTCAAAAGTAATTGTTCCTTCTTTCTATGTAGCGTGTAATTCGACAAAGAGCAACCTAATACTTTACGTATTAATAGAACTCACTGCAGTGTCGTTTAAGGTTATGTTAGATTATACTCGACATACCGCGTGTGGCTAAATTCAGCTCGTGTAGGCACCATGGTGGAATGGTGAAACAAGCAGTGTTGTTAAATTAAACAGGGTTTGACAAGCTGTGGTTTGGCATTGGCATTAGTGAAATTTAATCACCGCATCCATGGCGGTGCACCATTTTGGTGAATTTAGCAACACGCGGATAATCCTTTGCAATGTCATTGTGCGATGTATCTGGCACTTATCAAAATAAAAGTGCAAACAATATTAACATACACTTTTAAAGCTCTTTGGTCTGCGTTGAGGCGTTGTAAAACACTGGACACTATTTCACTTCTTTAATGTTATAATGTTATAATGTTCGATTTGTATTGTCTGCATTTGTTCTGCAACAATACAATCTGGCTACACTGCAGCCACGAGTTGCGCGCGCATGTCATCTTTTATTACTTTCAAACTTGTATTTATTACAATTAAGCTCTCTTTTTCTATTTCTTCGAGACACGTCAATAGATAGCGCAGATTCTATAGTTGAATTTTTCTAATTTCAATTTGACATCTTGTCCAAAACTTTAGTAATACCATTATCCTAAGTATACATTTCCTGGACTTTTCTCTTCGGGCATTAAATAATACATTCATTCTTGCTCGATATTAGACTGAATAATGATATGAATTCTATACATCCCGTGGATTATAAAGCGGAATCCACGGCCTTTCGACCAATCAAATTCTCCGAATCTTTAGAATACACAGGCCGCAACGAGAAAATACAAACAAACTGACGTCTACTATCAGATCACGAAACTTTCATTTCAAACAAATGACTTTTGATAATAGGGAATTCTCATGAGAAATAAATATGGCCTATTTTGTTTTGATGATGCACATTTTCCTGTAAAATATTGAATATGAGCAGTTTTGCATTAGATTTATCGATATTATAATCATACGGCAATTATAAGTTTTAAATTGAAAAGTTTCGCGCGGAAAAACTACGTTTAACATGGCCGCTTCCGATGACGTCAACTGTTCGTAAACTAAGATTAAGGGTGGTATACACTGATCGTGAATAAAGAACGTGGTCCACGCTTTCGTGGTTCACTCTTGAGTCGTGAAGAACGATTGGTTCACAATCAGCTCACGTAACGCCGCGCGACTGATATTAAACCACTATAAATGGGTCCCTATAGAGGGAAGATTGTCAAACTGCGCTTTTGTAAATCCTGTATCAACCATGATAAACTGTTTTAAACATAAAATGTCACAATACTCACAATACGGCACTAAACACGGAAACCCAACGTAAAAATCACTTTCAATACAGTCGAAGGTACGAGCTGAGCGATTACTTCTGACCGTTTGCAAACTATCAGAGACTCTCGTGAGAAGTGAGAATAGACCTTAACGTTGTATTTACAAACAGTTGACGTCACACGTACTGCCATTTTGAAGGCAATCGTTTTCGCGCCAACGAAAATAATTTGAAATTCAATATTTTTTTAAAATTTCAATGAGGACATAATACGAGGAAAGCATTTATATTGTACCATATTCGAAAACATAAGCAATAGGAAAAAAAAAAATTTGAAAAATATGATTGTTCCCTATTGGTATTTCTTACAAAAACTAATGATTTTTTTTGAAAAAGTTGGAAGAGAAACTATAGTCTTCTACTCGCAAATAATGGCTATTATTCACTCGAATGATTCCATTGATTGAATTTACATTCTCATGAATATGCTCGTTGAAGAATATACTGTTCAGAGATATAAATACTGTCGAGGATGGAATCTCGGTGTTAATTTTTTTGTCAACAGAATTTAGCCAAGCCAGCGGCATCTACTGTTTTGGAAAAATCACCATCCACTTGTTTTGCATTGGCGCTTCAGATACCTACTTCAAGGCATTTTTATGATAGATGGCGCTCTGTTCGCATTACTGTCGGGCTTTTCAAAGGACCCCGCACAAACCTTATGGGAAGGGCCTTTCTGTCGAATGGGTTTAAAATAGGGGATTAGGTAAGGATTGTGATTTAGATTAAAAGTGTTCACGGGCACAGAGTCCGGCTATGGCTAGACTCCGAGATATTTGGGAACATATAAATTTTTTATTATTATGACGTATTTTGATTTGAAGTTATAATTTGTTTGGCATGTATGATAATAGGTTGACAAGAAATATACAGTTTGCGTGATTGACGTTTTCAATTAAAACAGATGGACGATAGTATGAAAACATACATTTCCTGCCAACATTTGCTTGCTTGTCAATGTCATTGATTTGAATTTGATGCAATAGATTTGATGAAAACTTATGGAAATACACGTCCGCCGGTGAATAGGAATTATTTTTACGAAAAGGCACGCTACACACAATCACTATTGTTAGGAATAAACCTTGAAGAAACCGAGGAAATACTAGTTTCCAGTAAAGTTCGTACACTCTACTAGGTATGTACATGTTATCTTCATCCGTTTTTGACGTCACGCACCTGACAAGGCTTCAGCGTCTCGTGCTGTGGCTGTGGTCTGAATATAACCAGAGTTATGGTTTCACGATCCGAAAGTAATCAAAATACTCTGGTTCCTGGAAAAGTGGTTACTTTTGGACCTCGGTTTCCTGGAATCTGGTGAACCAAATGTCAAAATAGCTACCGGCCATCAGATGTCGGTTCATCTGTCAACCGATTCGGTCACTTTGATTAACTTTTGGTTATATTCGGACCATAGCCTAAATGTAATTTTTTGTATTGTTCATTTGTAATACAGTCTCAAAACAAGTCACTATTTTGGAAAAAAACAATAAATTAAGAGCTAAGCACATGAAATATTCATAAACGTCATGAAAACAATAGCGGACGTCACGATTCCGTTTGTGAAATCGCGCTGCCTAACATTAAAATCGGCAGATTGTGCATACCTAGTACAGTTTCCACTTGTCAACAAAGTACTGTCAACGGCTGTCAACCATTGTTTTCATACTCTTCTGACATCTGACGCCAGAGAGAGAGGCTTTTAATTGAAAAGGTCAAACAACATATCATTTGTTGGTGTACAATGGCGTTCAGAAGAAGAATACCGTGTTATGTCTGCGACAATTTTCAGATACAACGTATAAAAGCGTTACTTGCTGGCGATGATAACGCTCTTCTATGGGATATCGCAGTAAAAAGACGGGATGGAAATCGTAGACCACAAGCTGAGCTTACTCAAGATTCTAGAGTATGCAATAATTGTATAGTAACAATACGCAGAGAAATAGAGATTCTACAAAATAACCCCCAAGGTTTAAGAATAAATGTACCATCGCAGACATCTTCTGGTACTGGCCTTATATGTAATCGGCACAATGATATATCCACCGATTATCATTAGAATATGGGATTGGTATTTTTGTTAAAAAAAAATCATACGTCCCAAGAAAATATGTGTGTTGTAGACATCATTTGTATCATAGAGGATTTCTTGTGCAAGATCTTAGCAAGGATTGAGATATATCAACAGACCATAAACAGGGTATACCTACCATTCAAAACGAAACAGGCTAAATATCTGACACTGACTTTTTTTTAAAATCGCTCGTATTAATTTGAGTGTTTGGAATATTTTCAGCACTAACCTGACCTAACTCTCTAGGGGGGTGGGACCAACCCATACCATTCCAAATGGAACAGGGGGTCGAGTGATACCTGTTTCAAAAAAGCGTTCAATTTTCTTTCAAATGTCATCGAACGAAAGTAGATTGAATGCTCTCGACCCCTTGTTCCATTTGAAATAGTGAGGGTTGGTTCCACCCCGCCTAGAGGGTTAAAGTTGAAGTGCAAGCGATTTTTTTCAAAAATAAACGTGGCATCAGATATTTAGCCTGTTTCATTTTAAATGGTACACCCTGTATAATAACTGCAAAAGAAATGGAATCTTTTTTTGCAAGGTATGCGTGAAGAAATAGGTCGTAGTGCTTTACGTAGGTACGAGAATGAACATGGGAGTTTCTGATGAAGACTTTAAAACGCTTTATTCCATTACGAAGGCTGATTTTAACGACCTTTTACTTACTGCGATCCAGTGCCGGTGGGAGAGGGACATAGGAATGTTAGCAAGAAGGATCTTCTTTGTTTACAGTGAGGCAATCGCTGACAGGAAGATTTGTTCCCGAAAATATCGCCTTAGAAGCAATTACTAGAGAAGAATATGCAGGGTGTCCCAGGGAAAACAGTCCACCCCGATTTATCGGCTATTGGATGAGAATCTGGGAAAATGCTCGGACACGTCGATGTTTGTTTGAGGGGGAACTATTTTTCTTTTTTTTTTTTTCATCCTTGTAGCTTCCATCCCCTAGCTAGGGGGAAAACAACCTCCCAAATTTGAATAGGGAATACAGGTCGTGTCACACCTATTTTTAAAGGTCTTATCGAGTTCTTTATGGCCCTAGAATTTCATCCTTTTATTTTCCCTCAAATCAAAAATCGACTTGTCCGAGCGTTTTTCCAGATTCTCATCCCAAATCCAATAAATCAAGGTGGACTGTTTTCTCTGGGATACCCTATCCATATAGAAAGGCACGTAACACTTTTCGCAAATCGCTTGTATAACCCGGCGCCGCAAAATCCAAAAGCGATTGCTTATATACTGTGAGACAGAGACAGTTTAGTGGAGTCATTTTTTTTTTGTCTGGCATTTTGAGGACTGAATGTGGCTAGTTAGCTGATGAGAATATAGGTGATTTTAATGCCCGCCACCCGTTCGAGAATTTGTAGAAGAACAAAATTGATTAACATGAAGAATTTTTTTGTAATGATCTCAAATTTTCTGGCTTTTAAATAAAAGATTGACATTGATAAATAATTCACCCATAAAACATACCAGATGCTCTTCAAAAGCTGAAAAAGTGGGGATGGGTGTCAACTTCCAACAGAAAAGTAAAGAACTTTCTGCGTTTACTTTTTGTCTGGTAATCGAGAAAATAGAAGGTTTTGTTGTGAAAATAACGCTGAAAAATCGCCAGACGGTAATTACAGATCGAAATTGAGTTTTCCGGCGAAACATTTTGTGGACATTTCGAACAGGGGGCAGGCATTAAAACCACTTATATTCTCATGATCTAACTAGCCATATTCAGCCCTCAAAATGCCAGACAAAAAAAAAATGACTCAACTAAACAGGCCCTATCTCAGGGTCTATTATATTGATTGCACGTATCTTGATGTTATGTTGAAAAAAAGTACTTGCTTTAGAGTCTTGCGTTCATCCTACTGTTAAGAGTGAAGACATTGTTGAACCTTCTATGAAAGTTGCTTCTGATGGATATATCCTCGACATTCAAGGACCATACTTCTCGAATGCGGCTAACAATGATGCTAGAATACTATTCAATGAGTTCAATCCAGATGTAAACGGAATGGGGAACTGGTTTCAAGATGGAGATAATCAGGCCTATGATGTATCCAGTTCTGTTATTTTAACGGCTGTGTTATGGCTCAACATCTATTACTGTCTCTATTTTATCGTATAGAATAGACAGTGACAGATAACTTAACGTTGCTGTTAAAATAACAGAGAATGATACATCATAGGCCTGATTAGCGTAGTAGATCGTGGATATCGAGACTCCATACAGTTTTTACGTAGAATTAACATGCTTACAACAATCCCACCTATTTTGGATAGGAACCAAGGTTACTTTTCAACTGAACAATCAAATGATGCACGGATAGTGACTAAAATGCGGTGGATTGTTGAAGCGCGTAACGGACACTTGAAAAATATTTTCAAATACCATATCAACATCTTACGTTAAGAATTTATCCGATCTGCTTCGCATTGCTGGCGCAAGATATAGATATGGCAGAGGCAATTCTAAACCAATCTCGAGAAGTCAGTGTTGTTCAGGCACGAGTTGATGCAAACGCAGACGAGAAAGATGGATTCAGTTGACTCCAGTTTATGTGCCGATATTTCCAGTATTAAATATAGAATACTTACATGAACTTACTTTCGGAACGTTCCAAGTGTACTTATCACCATCTTTCATTCGAGACAGTTCACTTAGAGTTGACCCACGAAGGTGATGAACGAAACGAAATTACCTTTGAAATTGATTTAAATACCAACGAACCTGGATTTTTTAGACTAAGGCTATTTTCCTGATTTAGGAATGCTACTAAGCATGGATCGCGTTTAACGAGGAAAACAACGGAGTAGACAGTAATGGGCAAGAACATATTGTAGGTTGATATTGCACTTGTAAAGCTGGAGCTAGAACTTCAGGTATACATGCGCACATGTTGCTGCTAGTATTTGGTATTTGGGATATGTTAGGCATCAAGAGATTGTTTGCTATCCAACAATCTGGGTCTTACGCAGTGTGCTGAATGCAAATATGGCCGTTAACCAAGATATTGATGTAGTTATCAATGATGTATAATATAATAATAGTATAATAGGATAATATAGAGGAGCGGAAAAATGTAATTATGTGGTTTATTACTGGCAATTAGAGATGCAGGGCCTGATACTATTCTTCTTAATTCTTAGCACTCAAAGACAATTAAATTGCAATAAATTTCCATGGTCACTTTGCATCATAGTCATTACAATGAGTGGTTATATACTATAGTCTCAAATTCCTACGTGTACTTACAGTTTTTCCTTACTTTCACTAAATTATTCCAATAAAATAAATCTTTTCATTACCTACAGTCGTGAGCATAAAAAATGGAACATCCGATTTTTCCTATTGCAAAACGGGCACACCAACTACATCGTCGGCAATAACAGGGTTTGTCATATTTGACAAAAAAAAACAGTTATACAGAAAAGACTGATTTACCCAAAATAGCGAAAAATGTCAAGACCTGTCAGTCGGGTGTCCCACTCTTAATGCTCACGACTGTACGTTATGTAGATTGACCGTTTTAAATTTTTCTTGAACTACTTGATTCGCGACCGTCAATGGATTAGTATATTAAAATACAAGTTGTAGAAGGCCAAATATTCCTGCACGAATTTGAAATTTGGCCACGAGAGACGAATTTTATCTTCACTGGACTAATGACCGTTTTCTTTTCGACTTTCGACTCTAGACTACCTATATCCCAGACACTGTAACTTCCTTCGATTTCGTACACCAACTTTCTTAGTTGTTTGACCGAAAATGATTACTACATCCCATCTGTCCCATCATGAAAAAATCATTTGAGACACGATTAAACTGCTCTCATATATTGAAAGTTTTACAAAGCTGACATTTTCTGCAAAACTTCAGTGAAAAATACGAAAATATTTCTCCTCACTTCTTTGTATTACCTCAATCGTCAATATTTGTTGTACCTATCTCTTTCCTCAAAATTTCACATCAATTTTGACGAAAGCTTTATGTACAATTACTTAGTTTACCTCGTAGTTTAGGTACTATCGATCCAATCAAAGTAAAAGATTTTTTTATTAAAATCAAATTTAAATACCTAATAATAAATTCTCATTTATCCCAATTCCATTTTAGGTATACGAAACGCTAGAGTTCACAGCCAGTCAATCAACTTCATCAAAGCGTACCGATCCGAGGTGCTAGAGAATAAAATCCTTCGATCGAAAAGACATGATTATTGGCAACACATCAAACACAAAGACAAAACCCATAACGTTACGTAAATGACCTGAAACGGCTATAAAGAACGGCTAGGTTGCGAAGGTACTACATACAGTACTCTCTGGGTACGTGCATATATCGTGTGTAGTGTTGCATTATTTTACAAAATCCAGCCGATGCTGACCGAGCATAGTATATCATATGAAAAGGCGAAACTTAGATGTGCACTCGAGATACAGCTATTTCTTGTAACTTGGCTCCGTGTGTATTATGTGGTGGCAAGTGTTGAAAGAACAAGTGTGATGGTGCATAGGGTTCAGCGAACGCACTTTGTGCCGTCAGAGACCATGAAAAATTGAAGGGAAAAATTGCCATACTATCTGGTCATTGAAAATGGATTCGACGCAACGGAATGGTAATACTAGGAGTTTGAGCGTCATAGGTGAGTCGCAAAGATCGGGTTCTTTGGTGACGGGTTTTTTGGTGACGGTTGAATAAATACGTATACGGGCATATAAATTTAATTGATTTCAACTGCAAGCAGGTTGAATGGAATGCAAATTATAGTAAATATCAGTTTCGTTTTATATAAGGACCTAATTATCTCAACTATTCTTCAGGCAAAGTCCAGGGAGATTTGTGGTTGTTTTTATGTGTAAAATGGTCAAATGCCTGTTATATGTTTTTTGATTAGCGTTTCACAAGTTTGTAACTCCTCACTTTCAACTTCGAATCTGATCAATCGCAGAACAACCCCTTTACTCAGTACTTTTCAAAAAAGGTACTTCGTTAGTAATTCCTAGGTAATCCGCTGTATTTCCTTAGCAAGTTCTTAGTAATTTCTTGTACTTCATGATATTCTGTATTTGGCCAGTAATTTCATATGACTTCCTAGTAGGTCCCTATGCTGCATCAGGTATAAAAGTCTTTTATTGACAGCATTATGCTGACGCCGCGCATTGACACGCTTGTTCAGTGCAATGTATTTCTTCGGTATTAACTATATATTTCAGTATGTCCAGAAAATACCTAGTACTTCCTCATTATTTCTCAGTTATTTCCCATGACTTTCCAGTAGTTTCCTATGATGCATTACTTTCGAAACTCCTTGATTGACAGCATTATGCTGAGATCACGCATCAACACATTTCCTAGGTTATACAACTCACTGTACATTATTCCCATATGACACGAGAGGCTTAACAAGTGATAAGCCTTTTGGGATATCGCACTTGGTGGCATTTATAGCAAATTCTATTATAGAATTTTTTTTTTAATTTTAAAGTATTAAAGTTTGGTTCTTTGTATAACCTTTTGAATACCACTCGATGTTTCAGGATTACCTAATACTTTTACCTGACACTCAACGCGTTGCCAACAACACCACTCCTCCTTCGGAGTCGTGGTGTTGCTGCGTAACGCGTTTCTTGACAGGTAAAAGTATATGAAGAATCCTTCATTTTAATTTTTCATTGGAAATTAAATAAAATCAAACGCAAAAAGCAATCGTGTATTAGTTGGTAGGTTAGTTTGGGTTAGTTTAGTTTAGTTTTTTGGTTTATAACCAGTAGTGACACTTGACAGTTTGTCTAAGTATTCGAAGCGCGGGCAATTTGAAATATTAATCCCAAACAAGAAGGACTCAAGCAATCTTATTTCTAGATACTGAGGAGCTGGACCCCTCAGTGGAGTGTCCCATAACGTCCCATATTATGATTTGCAAATTGTATAATTATGATTTAAATATTTTCAAATTTTGACAATGACAGATCATTGATGACATTATGTAGTTTCCAACTACAGAGTGATCAAAGTTGAATTGAAATTGGAATTATTTGATGTACTTGTGATATTATTGGATAAGGATTCTAAAATGTCGTAACGTGTCTCTGTTGTTCGTTTTGACCTTTCACATCTATATCTTTTACCAAGTTGTTTACAATTGTAAACTCCTGTACACCTGACGAAGTAAGTTAAATAATTTCTTAATTGTTTTCAAATTTCATATCTCAACTTTGAAATTACAATAGAGGTTGTTGTCTTACTTTTCAAGTAGCACGGAAGATGGCCTAGGCCGAAAGCGCTTTGCACTGAATTATAAATAAAAATTATGCACGAAATATAAATCTCAACTTTCTCCTCTACATTCCTCAACGTGCACACAACTTCAAATTTCCAGTATCAACATTGACAGAAGTTTGAAAAGTACCTACCTAAGATATATACCAAGAGACACATCAAGACCACACTGATGAATTGTCTTCAGCTAGATAAAAAATACATCCCGAAGTCCAAAGTTTGAGTAGCTATCGTACGGTTGTCGAACTGGAAGTTATTTCTGATCATCACCCAGGGCAAATCTATCAGACTGAAAAAGTTCTTCTAGTGGAATGGTGTGGGAATGAAACACTCACAATCAAACAACATGGATGTGTTCATTTCATTGCAAAAATATCTACGATCTATCAATTATGTATTGATGAGTTATATGATAGCTAAGAGCTTTTGAAATAGACATTGAGTTAACTCTTGATAAAAGCTAGATTTGAAATGACAGTCGACGCACGCCCAATTTTAAACGCCCGTTTATTCCTATTGGAGTGCCGAATAGGGAATTACCAGACAGTACTCGAAATTACTAGGAAGTACCACGAATTACTAGGGAAGTAGTAGGAAGTTCTAGGGAGTACAAGCAATTACTGGGAAATGAGAATTACAAGGAAGTACCTGAGAAGTACATGAATTATCGAATGTAATAATATCACAAGAAGTTTCAGGATTACCGGATAAAACTTTTACCTGTCACCAAACGTGTTACGCAGCAACACCACGACTCCGAAGGAAGAGTGGTGTTGCTGGTAACGCGTTGAGTGTCAAGTAAAAGTATTAGGTAATCCTGAAACATCGAGTGGTATCAAAAAGGTTATACAACGAACTAAACTTTAATACAAAATGAAACAAAATTTTTTCTATAATAGAATTTGCTATAATAATTGCCACCAAGCGCAATAATCCCAAAAGGCTTATCACTTTTTAAGCCTCTCGTGTCATATGGGAATAATGTAGAGTGAGTTGTATAATCGACTGTAATATAACAAGAGGTTTCAGAATTACCGGATAATACTTTCACCTGGCACGAAACGCGTTACGCAGCAATACCACGACTCCGAAGTAGGAGTGGTGTTGCTGGTAAAGCGTTGAGTGTCAGGTAAAAGTATTAGGTAATCTTGAAACATCTCAAAAGGCTTATCACTTATTGAGCCTCTCGTGTCATCCCAGACGGCACCCAATATTGCTGGTATATGCCTACAAACTGCCAATTTTCCCAGGCATATTGCAATATTCCAGAAATATCCCTAGCATATTTGTAATATTCTGTATTAATTTAGGATATCCCAGGTATGTACTTATAGGATATGCCGTGAATATCATGTATGCATAATATTCCTTGAATATGCGAAAGGAAGATTTTTACATAATTATTTTATAAAATTAGAGAAATTTATTTTCTACATGTTTTTGAGCGCTTAAAATTTTATACCTTCGCTACGTTTTGGAAAGAAGACTATTATAAACAATTTGTTTAACTGTTATTTCATTTCAAATATGTTCATTATTGCCATCGCTCCGGCAATTCAATGGGTCTGTTCCCACAGGAGTCTCTGACAGTTTGCAAACTGTCAGTAAGCATCGCCCATACATGTTTTCAATGCTGTCGTTCCAAGATTAATCTGTAACTCAGCTGAGCAATTGTTTCTGACAGGTTGCAAGCAAACTGTCAGAGACTCCTGTGGGAACAGACCTAATGACGCCTCGCTGACGTCAGAGCAGAGAACAAGGAGAGAGCCAACCACAACGCATCACCAGCGTCACGTGATGGCACTACGGTGACGCCATTTCTTTCTTGTTTGGCACGTGGCTGCCGGCCGAGTGCCGGCTGGTGCCTGCAGTGCTCAGTGCTAGTGGCTATGTTGGTTTTTGTGATTTTTGTTCGAAAGTTAATTAAATACATAATTTTGAGGAGCATTCCGAAATCCGTTTGTTTTAGTGACAAGCGGCCTACATATATCCATGTCCTTATTTTGAATTAGGTATGAATGTATTTCCATAGAAATCAAATACTTCTAGTTTAACCGTAATTAGCGCATTTTTGGTCGAGAATCTGGAAATGACTCATTTTGATGAAAATTGATAGATAATCTGAATTAGAGATAGGACATAGGACATGTAAGCTGTTTGTGCATATAGTGAACCAATTCCAATATATTTAACCTCAAAATTCAGAAGAATTAACGGAATAAAAAAGTTAAAATATGTGAATCCTCGCAAGGACACTCGTCATTTTGACAAATTTAAAGGTTTTTTTCAGGTATGGATGGGACTGGAGAACGGGTCGAGGGGTCAATTTTGAGGGGGTACACCAGGGAGGGTTTTCCGTGTATATCTAAATAATGTGCATGGAATATTCATCAGACATTCTTTAGGGATATTGGATATTCAGTGAATATTTCAATATCCAATTGTCATATATGTGGCAGATTGCAGGGATATGTTTCATGGTGACTTCAGCATATGCTTGGGATATCCCTGTCATATGAATAGATCTGCATGGCATATGAATGGGATATTTCAATATTCCCATGAAATATGCCATAAATATTCCTGCAATATGTTTGTGCCGTCTGGGATATGGGAATAATGTAGAGTGAGTTGTATAATCGAATGTAATACCACAAGAGGTTTCAGGATTACCTAATACTTTTACCTGACACTCAACGCGTTGCCAACAACACCACTCCTCCTTCGGAGTCGTGGTGTTGCTGCGTAACGCGTTTCGTGACAGGTAAAAGTATTATCCGGTAATCCTGAAACCTCTTGTGGTATTACATTCGATTATACAACTCACTCTACATTATTCCCATATCCCAGACGGCACAAACATATTGCAGGAATATTTATGGCATATTTCATGGGAATATTGAAATATCCCATTCATATGCCATGCAGATCTATTCATATGACAGGGATATCCCAAGCATATGCTGAAGTCACCATGACACATATCCCTGCAATCTGCCACATATATGACAATTGGATATTGAAATATTCACTGAATATCCAATATCCCTAAAGAATGTCTGATGAATATTCCATGCACATTATTTAGATATACACGGAAAACCCTCCCTGGTGTACCCCCTCAAAATTGACCCCTCGACCCGTTCTCCAGTCCCATCCATACCTGAAAAAAACCTTTAAATTTGTCAAAATGACGAGTGTCCTTGCGAGGATTCACATATTTTAACTTTTTTATTCCGTTAATTCTTCTGAATTTTGAGGTTAAATATATTGGAATTGGTTCACTATATGCACAAACAGCTTACATGTCCTATGTCCTATCTCTAATTCAGATTATCTATCAATTTTCATCAAAATGAGTCA